AGCCAGCAAGGACCTCTTACCCCCCTTTTCCACCCCTCTACTTCCATTTCTACTTCCACAACAAAGTGTTGCACTGAGAAAGATTCCAAGCTAAGCTTGGATTGAATGCAAGCTGTGATCGACTAGCTGTGCCTGCCATGGACACAGGCGGACGCAGGCGTGGTCAGGGGTGGCGTCTGTATCAAGTGTCTGCCATTTGCAGTCTGTCTAGTGCTTCTCCTTGCACCTGGAAGCAAAGAGCTCCCCTGACTATTCTGGGGGCACAAGTGCCCCTCCTAGGCACTTTCTGCTCCCTACTCAATTGTTGCCAAGAGCTGTGTCACCTTTAATACAGCAGTCATCCAAGTTTGTGGGGCTAATGAGATCAAAATTAAAATCTAGCTTCTGGGGCCTGGCATGATGGCTTAATGACTAAATCGTTGTCTTGCACGTGCTGGGATCCCATAGAGGCGCTGGTTTGTACCCCAGCTGCTCCATTTCCCATCCAGCTTCCTCCTTGTGGCCTGGGAATGCAGTGGAGGAGAACTCAAAAGTCTTTGGACCCTGCACACCTATGTGGCCACCCCTGGAGGCAGCATGGCCCCCAGGTGCTAGGGTACCACCTCTTTTCCCTGCTCCTCTCCAAGGCAGCTCTCTGCTTCTCCTGGGGGCAGCACCCAGGTTTAGCAGCTCCCAGAGTCTTCTCTTCCGGGCCTGAAATGATAGCAGAGGGAGCCATGGTCAGAACAGTGGAGGGGAGAGTGGGAACGCTGCCAGAGGGCACGCTGGGGAGAGGGGCTGGCTGACCAGCCTGTGGCTGCCCAAGCTGAGATACACGGAAAGCCTTCAGTCAATTCAGTAATGCAGGGAATGTGCATTAAAAAGCTATGTGTGGATTCCCAATGCGGGCTTGCCCATTAGTAAGCCCCTCTCGGGCTGAGTATTCTGAGTATTCTGAAACATGCTCCTGAAGGCCCTCTGATGTCTCACCACAGCACGGGCAAGGACCAGAGGCTGAAGATGTCTGAGAGGACTTGAAAAAGAGTCTATGGAAAAGTGAAATAAGCAAGAATAAGTTTATTTGAGGGCAAATATTTTATGAAATTCATGTGTAGATTTTTCATGATCTGCATTTTTCATGAATTTTTGAAGACCCTTGTAGACATGAATTTTTAAAAATTCTTGATACTAAAATAAATTTGGCTTTATTTATTTATTTGTTTTGAAAGGTAGAGAGAGAGAGAGAGAGAAAAAAAAAGAGAGAGAGAGAAAGAGAAAGAGAGATCTCTACTCAGCCCAGACGCATTTAATAGCCACGGTTTGGCTAGGGTGAAGCTAGGATTTTGGAACTCCTTCATGGGGTAAAGGGGATTGGACCACTCAAGCCATCTCCTGCTGCTTCCCAGGGTTCACAATAGCAGGAAGCTGCCATGGATAACAGAGCCGGGACTTGGACCCAGGCACTCCAGGAAGAAACGACTTCACCATGGCATCCAATGCTCACCAGGGGGGCAGGCGCTTGTGGCACAATGGGTAAAGCAGCTGCCCGATCCCGTATGGGTACTGACTGATGTCCCAGCTGCTCCACTTCTGATTCAACTCTCTGTAATGGCCTAGGAAAAGCAAGGGCGCATGGTCCTTGCTACCCACATGGGAAACCGGATAAAGTTTCTGGTTCTTAGCTTCACTGTGGCCATCTGGGGAGGAAAACACCATATAAGAGATCTCTCTTTCTCTGTGTCTTGCTCTCCCTCTGTAACTCTGGCCTTCAAATAAATATTTTTTTAAAAAATGCTCACCCAAGAAACTTCTTTTAATTCAATGTTTGCATGAACTGTCTAAAATTCCCTTATGTCTGAAGAGGCAAATGGACAGCTCTAGTTTGGGGCTCTCAGGTGGTGTCCCCCCTGCTCCCCTACCATCCTCTGCTTCTATGTTCCTGGCCTCCCATGAGATAGCTCTCTTGGCTCCATGACCAAGTTCACTGTCTTTTTTTTTTTTTAATTTTTATTGGAAAGGTGGATATACAGAGAGGAGAGACAGAGAGGAAGATCTTCTGTCCAATGATTCACTCCCCCAGTGAGCGCAACGGCTGATGCTATGCCGATCCAAAGCCAGGAGCCTCTTCAGGTTCCTCATGCGGGTGCAGGGGTGCAGGGTCCCAAAGCCTTGGGCTGTCCTCAACTGCTTTTCTGGGCCACAGGCAGGGAGCTGGATGGGAAGCGGGGCTGCTGGGATCAGAACCGGCGCCCATATGGGATCCCAGGCGTGCAAGGCGAGGACCTTAACCACTGCGCCACCGCGCCGGGTCCCCAAGTTCACTGTAAACAACCCTTTCTGTCTGCCTCCAGGGACCTTATGGGCTCACTGGGGAACCAGCTCTGACACGCACAGGCCAAATCCCAGTGAAGACCAAAGTGACCAGAGCTCAAACAGTGACTGGAGCTGTGCATCCTGAGGGCAAAGGGCAGGCAGATTGGGGGCAGGGTGGTGTTTGGGTATTGGAGCTGGAGGCTATCAGGAAATCCTGGAGGGTGGTGCAGACCGACACCCTCAAACAGTGAGTGGTGGACGTAAGAGCTTAGCACAGGCAAGGAATTCAGCTTCTACCATGGGCATGGTTGAGATGTGGACATCAATGTTAATATCAGAGATTCCAGACCCTTTAGGAATTTCAGGGCGCTGAGGCCTTGGAGATGTAAAGCTCTGTCTCAACACTTAGCACGGAATCATTCTCTTTAAATGTTGGTGAATTAGCATGTGCTGTGTCCTGGGGTCTCCAGGCCAGCCTTAACCACAGAGTCAAGTGCTAATGAAAATATACTTTGGAGCAGTTACCAGTGACCAAGCACCTGTTCTTCCATTCTACAGTGAGGAAAACTGAGGCCCAGAGAGCTTTCTGGGATCTTACGGAACATGACAAATGTTCTAACCCAGGCTGTGTGGATGACAGCTCAGGTGACAAGAGAGCCGTGCAGGGTAACAGCTGTGCTAAGGCCCCGTGGTGGGAGTGTGCTCAGACCGGTGCCCCCAGGGAGCCCAGTGAACCAGACACGGAGGGTCAGAGGGGACATTTCATAGGGCAGGGGCCTGTGAAGTGTCATGCTGTGAAGAATTGGGTGTTTCTTTTCTGAGACAGGTGGCTGACTGCCGTGTTGGGGCTGGACGTGGAGGAGTGTGGAGTGATGCCCCCATGGGGTCACTCAGATCTTGCTTAAGTCAATGGAAAACTGTTCCCAGCCATGTCTGGCTTTTGGCCTTGGCCTGATTTTTGCCCGCCTGCCTGAGCCCTCAGTGGGAGGAGACTTGAAGCTCTGTGCCAAGCACTGGGAGCGTTGAAGGCTTTCTTGAGGCAGGTGCATGTTTCAGGCCTGTAAGGGAACATGCTGATAAGAAGGCTTGATTAACCTCCTCGGGCGGGTTGACTTCTGGCACCCGGGGTCAGTGGGGCGGGCCTGGAGCCTTAGACAGTGAGAAACTGCCATAGAGGGAGGCCTGTGGTGGGCTCGGACCCTCTGGGACAGGCCAGACCACCCCAACAGAGTGCCAGGATTCCCTCTGGAGGCTCAGAACTGAAGGCGAGCCCTGGCACATAGCCGTGGCTCTGGCCAGGTGGCAGGTCACGTCAGGCCTATTCATAACTACTCAGGGGCGTAGCCTGTGACTCATGCCAAGGCCTGGCCGAGAGGACGGGTAGGGAGGTGTCTCTTGTCCACTTCTTGTCCTCAGCCCCTCCCTCTGGGTCATTGTCCAGCATGTTTGATAATGACAGCAACCTGGTCTTCTTTAAGATTGAAGACTTGACTCTTTGCACTTGGACATGTATCGGGGGTCTCTCCTAGGGCACATGATGCCCCTCAGTCAGGCAGTGCCCATTCTTGGAATTTCCGATGTTAGATTTTTTTTTTCTTTGTAACCCTTCACCTGCTGGGTGTTTGTTTAAGATTTATTAATTTTTATTGGAAAGACAGATTTACAGAGAGAAGGAGAGACAGAAAGAAAGATCTTCCATCCATTGGTTCACTCCCCAAGTGGCAACAATAGTCAGTGTCAAGCCAACCCAAAGCCAGCAGCCAGGAGCTTCTTCCAGGTCCCCCATGCAAGTATAGGATCCCAAGACCTTGGACTGTCCTCTACTGCTTTCTCAAGCCACAAGCAGGGAGCTGAATGGAAAGTGGAGCAGCTGGGACATGGACCAGTGCCCATAAAGGATGCCAGTGCTTGGAGATGGATAAGCCAACACACTGGCCACATGCTCAAGAGCATTGTCCATTTTGATAGGCAGCTGGGTGAATTTCACTCATGATGCGCTTGCATGATTATCTCTGAGAGCATAATACAGGACCATTCCAATGCTCCATTCTCCTAAGCACCTACCCAGGGTTTGGGGTGGGAATTTGGTGCAGTGGCTCTGCTTCTGGTTGGGATGCAGGCATCCCGTGTTGGAGCACCTGGGTTCTGTGCCCACCCCTGCATCTGACTCCAACTTTCTGGAATGTGGAGTCCGGGAGGCAGCAAGGAGTTGGGCTCCTGTCACCCAGTGGGAGACTTGGCTGGAGTTTCCAGCTCCTGGCTTTGGGATTTGGCTTGTCTGTTCCTGACCTTCTGATCAATCAAGGCATCACTAATGATTTGAGAAGTATGCAAATTAGATTGGCGTGGTCCTTTCATGAGAACTGCTGAGCGAGGTGGATGTTTTTCTGATTGTGGCTGTGGTGTTGTGAGAAGTCAGCATGCAGGGCCGGGAGAAGGCGTCGGGACGCACTGTCCACCCTGGGTCAGCAGCCCCCTTGCTGGCCTTATCCTTGCAGGAACAGAGGGCCAAGCTCACTCCTGGCTGTTGGGGTGGGAGCTGCAGGATGCTTGTGGAATAACCCCTCTCTTCTCCTGCGCTGCTTTTGGGTGTCAATCTCGTATCTGTGCACCTTGGGTGCCACATGGGTCCCCACAGCCACACCCTGTGCTGTCTTGCAGAGAGCTGAACCTCGTCTCACCATCTGCGCCCGTGGCACTGCCTCGACATGGCCATCTCATCGCGCCTCGCCCTGTGGGAGCAGAAGGCAAGTGCTGCTCACTCGGGGCTGGGGCGGGGGCTGCAGCCACAGGAATGGATTCCCTCCCGGCGGCTTGGGTGGCCTTTCCCATGGGTGAGGGCAGGGGAGGCTTGGACACCCAACTCTCCCTTCCATTGTCCCTTGGCCATGGCCTTCTCCATGAAGCAGGACACAAGTGATCATGGCCATCATTCCTCCCCTGGATGCTGGGGCCTCCTCCTGTGGGGTCCTAGCTGATGGCAGGGGAGTGATGGGTAGACCAGTTCTCCCATCTCAATGTTCCCGGTGGCTTGAGGTTATTGAGGCAGGAGCCATATGTGGCCAGCACAGGGGTAGGGAGCAGAGACAGAGATATTAATTGCTGAGTATGTACTATGGACGGGGGTCTCCATGGTCCCTGCCCTCGGCCACCATGGTGAACTGTAAACGGGATGATGATTTCATGATAAGCAGGCCACCTCTTGGCCGCACCCCATCCCTCCCAGACCAACCTGGGGGGGATGGTGAGGGAAGAGGCAGCGACTGGCACTGTGTGCCTTTAAACTTCATTCTTGCCCAAGAAGTGGGTTTTCATCCCACACCAGGAGAGGGGAGAGAAGTGAGGGGCTGTAGGGAGGCCACCTGCCCTGGCCTGGCCCTACCCTTTAAGTTCCTGGGTTGTTGCCTACATGGGCCAGCCTCACCCTGTGGCTGTAGCAGCTGGTCCCCTGGCCTTGCTTATCTCTCTTGGATTCCGTCTCTATCAGCTAGGCCACAGGGAGCAAGCCTTGGCTGGCCACGCTCAGAGAAGCTAGATAAAGAGGTTATTTTCAACCGCATGCAGCTCGTCCGTATCAAGCCGTGCTGCTTTGCTTCTTTCTCTCACCAGCAGTCACTGATTTGCAGGTGAAGGATACATGCCAGGTGGTCCCAGTCAACCCCACCCCACTTCAGCTTCCAGGGCTAGCAACTGCCTCGGTCTAGCCAGTTCTGACCTGACCACGTTCCCAGGGCAGGGTGGGGGTGTCCATCATGTGTTGGGGAGCCCCTGGTGAACATGACCTTGATTCATGACCATGGAGTGGCCACAGCCATGGGCTATGGGCTGGTGATAGGGGTGCAACTTTCTCTAAACCCTGGCTGCAAGCCTTGCCCTACTTTTCCATGTTCCTGGGACCCAGGAAGAGATTAAATAATTGACATATTACATTGCCTACCAACTGCGAGGGGACTTGTGACCACCTTCTTCTGGAACCTGGGAAAGACCTGGTCCCTCCAGAGGTCCAACTTCACCTCATAAGGACACTGACCTGGCTGCAGTCCTGCGGGCTGGTGCGGCCCTTTCTTTCACATTCTGTTTTCCATCTGCCATCCTGGGACCTCCCAGCAGCTTTTCCTCCCACTTTCGGAACTCTCTCCCCCTCTGCAACCCCTTTGTGCTTCTGTAAAAACAGATCCGAGAAGAGGATAAGAGTCCCCCGCCCTCGTCGCCCCCGCCCCTCTTCTCCGTCATCCCAGGGGGCTTCATCAGGCAACTGGTCCGGGAGACGGAAAAGGAATCCAAAGAGGCTAGACGGAGGAAGCAGGCGGCGCTCGCTTCTCCAGAACGAGAGGTAAGGGGCCAGGGGCCTCCCACCATCCACCCTGGAGCCTCAGGTCACCCACCCTGCCTTGGTTCCCGCCATCGTGGCTTTGAAGTGTGGAATGCTTCTCCCCGACCTGTAGTGCTCTCCTATGCTTCCTTCAAAACCCAGCTCCTCTAGCAAACCAGCACCGTCCTTCCTCTGAGGGGCGGTGAGCCCACCCTGCATGTCCTAAGTGCTGTTGACTTGGTAGTTATGGGACCACTCCTCGTTCTCGTCCTCCTGCTCACGATGTGACCAGGGATTCCCCAAGAACAACCGCGTCTTTCATTCAAGTCTGTATCCTGAGTTGTTCTCACAGTGCTTGGCTTAGAGTCAGAACAAAACAAATGTCTGATGAATGATGGCAGTGTGTGGCCGGTGAGGGGGGTCAGCTTCCTCCGCATTTTACAGACAGGAAAACCTACCTATTGCTTGAGAGGTGTTATTGGGCCACCGCTGTGTAAATAAAAAAGCTATTCAGTTGGTACTTGTCTGTTTCAGTTTGAAAGACCCTTCCTGTCCCTGCTGTGTCTTCAAAGGTCCCAAGTACCCGGCGTCTTCCACGGCCACCCAGTCCCCTCTCCCGAGTGCCTTGGAAAGGTCACCCAATCCAGTAACTGAAGGACTTGGTTCATACCCGATGTCCTTTCAGGAGTGCGTGTTGTCTGCCAGAAACTGAACTGTTCTAAGTAGCATTGCTGGGTTGAAGCGATGCTTGAATGCAATGCAGCCCAAACTCATCCCTGCTGGAGGCCAGGGCTATCCACCCCGCCCTCGTTTCTCCTCCAGCTCCTTGGCTGAGGAATCTGGGCCGGGCCATGAGGTTGGAGTTCGCCAGAGACAGGCTTGGAGCCCAGTGCAGTTGTTAAGGCAGAACTGGCATTTCTGACTGTCTCTGCAGCGCCCCCTTGAGGCTACAGCGCTGGGGCTACGAAACCTGGTGCTCTCAGGACTTGGAGCTGGCCTGAGTCCGGGGACCTCCGGGCTCCTCCTCCCGGCCCCTTCTTCAATTTGGGTTTTGCTCAGCTGGTCCCAGCTGTGCCTGCACCTGTCCAATGGCAGGGACTGTTGCATCAGATAAGTCCTCCAGCAGCTGTTGGGAGGTTCTCTTTCTTCCCCCTCAATAGCTCTCACCCCCACTGCGGCAGGCCCTTGGTGTGGGAGGGTGCCAGAGGGGGCAGGCTCTGTCACTGTCCCTGCCCCTGCCAGACTGAAAGTGGAAGTCGGGGCCAAGACCCCAGCAGGACACAGCGAGATCAGGGGGATGTTGTTTGCTGTATATTGTTCAGTACCAGACAGCGCTCTCATAGCTGTTCAAGGGCCCACTTGGCTCCGAGGCCTCAAGGCAGGTGGGTGAGTGGGACTGTCCCCAGTTATGAGAGATAACTGGAGACTGAGGCCCAGGCAAGACAACTGACTTTGCCAAAGCTACAAGTCCCAGCCGAGACAGAGAAACCAAAGTGAGAGGGAGAGAGGTGGGTGTAGGGAGTGAGGTGGTGGGGCTACCCTGAGGCTGCAAGCTCTGTTGGCATCTCTGATGACAAGTGGCAGATCCAGGGAAGAGGACAAGAGTGAGCTGTGATGGCCAGACCTGGAGGGACACTCAGAGCCAAGATGCAGGGTGGAATGACCTCAGATGTAACAGGTGGCAGGACCATGGTGCCAAGACAATCCTGGGTCTGGGAGCTGGCTGGAGCCAGGGGGGCAGGCAGAGGGAGGAGATATCTTGGGGCACAAGCAGCCCTGGTCAGTCCCTGCTGATCTCATGCCATCTCCCAGTCTCAGCTCAAACATGTCCTCTGATCCTTACAATAATTCTTGCATGTAGCTAGTAGAAGTCATCCACATTTCACAGGGAGGTAAACTGAGGCACAGGGAAGTGACTTCCTTTTCCTAAAAGTCTCTGGGGGGAAGCTGTGAAGAACCCCAGGGTGGGTGTTTGGGGCAGCAGTAGGCCCATCTATTGAATGCCAAGAAGAGCTGGGTTCTAGCTCTGGCCCTTCTCTTGGCCTGCTTTTATGCATCTATGGAATGGAAGGGCCTTGAGTTTCTTCTTGGCCCAGGAGATCCTCCACCGGCTAGGAAGGGAGCAGAAGAGACTAAGGGCTTTGTTGATCAAAGAGCCTAAAGAGGAGAATTCCTGAGGGTGTGTGTGTGTGTGCGTGTATGTGTGCGTGTATGTGTGTGTGTGTGTGTGTGTGCTGGGCAGGGGCGGGAAGCTGGGCATGGTTCTCTTGCTTGTCTCTACCCTGGGTTACTTGTTAAAAATAAGACACTGACTCACTTTTCCGAACGGTGTAGATGGAGCACTGAGACAGAGATGGGTGGAGCATTGCAGGTTCCCGTTCTCAGGCTCTGTCCAGCCCGGCCCTAGAAGGTCAGACTGACACCACGGGAGCACCAGCGGTGCCTAGTCCCGGAGTCCTCGGCTCTCACCCAGAGCCCAGCCCAGGGTAGCTGCAGCCGAGGTTTTGGGAGGGCAAGATCGTCAAGGTGGTTATGCCTTCCCCTACACCCCAGGAGATTGCAGCAAGGCCCAAAGACAGGGATGAGTAACTTCCGCATGGCTGCAAGGGCACTAGCCTTCCAGTCCCTGGACTTGGCACCCTGGCTTTGTCTTTGAGGTCACCCGAGACCCAGGCCTTCCTGGTGGTGGTTGGGTGGCAGATGGTGTGACCATGAGGGCTGGGGCTGATGGTGACGCTGGCTGGCCTTTGGGATGGACAGCCCTTAGGTCTCTGTCTGCAGGTGCGGTGGCCGAGCAGAGCCTGGGAGGTGTTGAGGTCATGGGGGCAGGCAAGCTTCAGGAAGGAGGATTGAGCAGGGCTGAATCTGGGGGTGTGGAAAGGGGTCAGGGGACATGTCCAGGTCAGGTGGGAAATGGAGGAAGAACCCAGGGCCAGAGTCTGGACCCTGCTGATGGAGTGGGCAGTGGGCTGGGGCCGGGACAGGGCAGCAGCAACAGCATTGCAGTATAGTCTGACAACCCACACCTTTTCTTAGATAACACTTGGCCAGTCAGGTGATCCCGCCCTGTCCGAAGGGAAGACCAAAGCTGAGAGAGGACAGGTGACGTGGAAGGTGTTGGGGGACATGACAGGAATAGATGCTGGCCCTGAGTTCAGGGGGAACCGAGGCAGAAGGCATTCACAATACCAACCACCAGTCAGCACCAACCATACTTAATCATTGTCACATCTGCTGAGGGCTCCCTGTCTGCTTGGCTCAGTGTCTGGGCTCACCAGTCCCCAGTCCTCACAGCCACCCTGCCCCAACAGACCCTTACGGAATCAGATGAAAGCTATGAAAGCACGCAACTACACGAGTACAGCGAGTTGCATGTTCCTGACCAGGAAGCAGGTTCAGAGAAGGAATATGCCTGCCCCGAGGCCACACAACTGCAGAGTGGCACCGTCGGGCCCTGCACTTGCTTGTACTTGGCCTCCAAGTGCCCCACTCCTGCTGCGTCCTTTGGCCTTGAGCTTGGTGGTTTGGCCCGGCCTGGCGCTTTAAAAAGGACTTTAGGCTGGACGAGGGGGTGGGAGGTGAGGTAAGAGCAAGTCAGTAAGCAGTCATGCCTGACTGTCCCTTCTTCTCCCAGACCCCGGAAGTCCCTGCCAGCCAACCGAAGAGCAAGTCCAGCAGTGACAGCAAACCTGGAGGCCCCCAGCTCACCCAGGATGGGCAGCCAAAGTCTCCCCAGAGCACAGACATTCCGGCCACAGAGAGCCAGGGTGCCGGCAGCTCGGACCCCGCCCTGAGGACCAGCATGAATGGCGAGAAGCCACAGGAGTCTGGTCCTGGGGGGACCCCCACCAAAAGGACGCTGCCGGTCAGGAGGGGCGTGAGGAGGGGCGACGTGCTGCTGATGGTGGCCAAGCTGGACCCGGATGCAGCCAAGCAGGTGCAGCCACAGGATGCCCCACCTGCAGCCACAGACCCTGGAGGGGGAGCCAAGGGGGAAACCCCACGGACTAGCCCTGTGGCTTCGGCCCCGAAGACTGACAAGACCCAAGCTGGGGTTTCTGGGGACTCGGGTCAAGGGTCAAAAGGCGAGAGGGGTCCAGGACTCGGGGGCAAAGGGGTTGGAGCTCCCCAGGCTAAAGGGGGTGAACCCCATGGCACAGAGGGGCCGGGAGCCAAACCCCAAGCCCAAGAGTCAGGAGAGAGGGCACGATTAGTGACAGCACAGAAGGAAGGAGGAGGGGACCCTACCAGCAAGACTGCCAAGGGGACCCTTTCCAAAGGTGCAGGTGGCAAAGAGAAGCTCACGGGGCCCCCAGTCCAGGCAAGAAAGTGGGGAGGGTCCCTAGGCAGAAGGACCAGGGGGGACAGTGTGCAGGGTAAGAAGGACAGAGCAGGTGAGGCTCCAGAGAAGGTGGGCCAGGCGCAGGGGCAGGCTGGTGAAGTGCCCAGAGTGATGGAGAAGGAGGGGCAGGCAGGTGGGCCCCGGGAGGAGCTGGGAAAGGGGCCATGCGCCCCGAGCCAGGCAGGAGAAGCAGGGGCAGCCCAGAGTGACGCAGTGGCAGAAGGCCAGAAAGTCTCCAAGGACGGGGTGTCCAGGGGGGAGTCCCCAGGGGCAGCCAGGAGGGAGGGCCAGCCCCAGTGTCAAGGACAGGCTACAGAGGAGGCCTGCCCAGGAGTGGAGGAAGCGGCTGAGACCCAGCCAGCAGAGCAGCAGCCAGCAGCTCGGGAGGAGGCCACCCCAGGGCCTCTGGTGCAGATGCAGAGCCAGCAGGGGCCAGCCTTGCAGGGGGCGGACACAGGAGGCCAGAGTGGAGGAACTTCAGACCAGGTGAGCCGGCTATAGGTGCGGGAGGGCATGGCCGACTCTGCCCCTGGGGTGGGCCGCCCAGAGGTAGGGATAAGCAGGAGTGGGGCGGGGGGTGGTCTGCACCTGTCCACAGGGTGAGGGGAGGGTCCCCGAATGAGCTCTCCCCTCGCGGTGACACCACAGCACAAAATGGAAATGCTGATTTGTAGCCCCCCCCACCCCACTGCCATAGAGGAGGTTCCCTTCTAGAAGCCCTGCCGTCCAGTCCATCCCCCACCCCAGGAGAGGGCCTGTGAATCTGCATGTCACATCAACACACAGCTGTCCTCTCAGGAGCTGCTCCTGTGTGCTGGCCCCAGGCCACTAAGCAACTCCCAGTACCGGGGTGGGTGGTCGGCAGGCAGGCAGGCAGGCGGTCAGCCTGCAGCTGGGGTGGGGAGGTTGGGCGAGGGGGGCTGTACTCACTGACCTCCCTGGCTGCCTCCTCCAGATCCCGGAGGACAAGTGGTACGAGGCGGAGAAGGTGTGGCTGGTTCAGAAGGACGGGTTCACTCTCGGTAATGGAGGCAGGGCGTGGGCTCTGGAGTGGGGTGGGGGGCTAATCTCCTCGTCCTGTACCTGCTGTGGCTGCTGCTGCTGCTGCTGGGGCCCTGGCACTGGCTGGGAGGGGAGTGTGTGCTTGAAGGGCAGCTGAGGCCACCAGCCTGAGAAAGCTGATGGAAATCGGGCCTGTTAGTAAAGTGACTTTTGCAACTCCCGAGCGGCCAGGAGCTGGGGCTTGCGCAGCTAGGGGGTGCTAGGGGTACCTCGCAGCAGCCCATGCTAGTCGATGGGCGGCGGCCGTGATGACCGAGAGGTAAGTCTGAAAGATCTCACTCAGTGTCCATCCAGGGAATGTCGGTGGATTAGTGAGGTCTGTCACGGGCGCAGAAAGCGGAAGCATCAGCTCCCAGGTCCTTCCCTGGCGCTGCGGGTCTGGGTTAAGATGGCTCTGAGTGCCTGCACCCTCCAGGGGCCCGCTCTGGGCCTGGCACCGGGCATTTCTCTGGGGGCACGGGTCAGAACCTCCCGTGTGGGCAGTGGGTGAGTGTGTGGGGGCGTCACTGCTCCCGGACCTGCTTCCAGCCCGGCTGAGAGCCTCTCTGCTCAGCTCCTCTCCCTTCCTTCTTCTTCCCTGTCCCCTCTTCTCTCTCCCTCCCCCTCCCTTCCCTTCCTCCCTCTCTCTGCTCCCTCCCCCTCCCCTCTCTCTCCCCTCCCCTCTCCCTCCCCTCTCCCTCCCCTCTCCCTCCCCTCTCCCCCCCCTCCCCTCTCCCTCCCCTCTCCCTCCCCTCTCCTCCCCCTCCCCTCTCCCTCCCCCTCCCCCCTCCCTCCCCTCTCCCTCCCCTCTCCCTCCCCTCTCCCTCCCTCTCCCCTCTCCCTCCCCCCTGGTTTTCCTCCTCCCCTCTCTTCTCCAAACTCCTTCTGCCCTACCTTCTCTCCCTCATTTCTTTCTCTGGCCTGTCTGTCCAGCCACGGTGCTAAAGCCGGATGAGGGAACGGCAGATCCACCTGCTGGCAGAGTGAGACTTCGCATCGATGGGGACCACACCACCGTGGAGGTGGCCGAGGAGCAGGTGCACCCGGTGAGTGCCCGGCCAGCAGCCGTGCCCTGCAGGGGAGGTTTCGGGAAGGACTCCCTTGGAACCTGTTATCCCGCAGGGAAATTTGTTGCAGAATGTATTTTCCTTTTCACTCTGGCTGCCAGGGATCTTAACCCTGGGTTCCACTGTCCTGTTGTTTGGTGTTTTTAAGCCAGCATTTTGCCCTGCATTATATTTCCTGCCCTGCTCCTCCCCTGCTCCCCAGGTTACTAACTGAGACATCTCCTTTCTGGCTCATCTGCCTCACCAACCATCCTCTCTGCCCACCCCCCGCCCGCCCATCTTAGAGGTGCCGGCACTTTGTAGAAGCCCAGGGCCCTGGCAAGGAAGTCTGACTCTTAAGATGGCTTAAGCTGGCCCCAGACCCCAGGGCGACAGGCCCAGAACATTCCAGGGAGCTGGGCAGAATGATAGGATGCCTCTTAGCACAGGTGTCCCTGGCAGAGCGTGTGTGTGTGTCCCTGTGTATGTGTGTCTACAGATCTGTGTGTGTCTGTGTGTGTGAGCATGTGTGTGTGCAAATGGGCGAGATGCTATGCATATGTGTGTACATGTCTGTGCATGAATGGGAGAGCGTGCAGGAGACAGTGTGTCTGTGCATGTGTGCGGGGCTGTGTGTGAGGTGGTGGAGTGCCCCGGGGGAGGGCGCAGAGGCCCATGGAGTCCTGTGGTGGTTTGCAGGCCAACCCTCCTGAGCTGGACCAGGTGGAGGATCTGGCCTCTCTGGTCAGCATCAACGAGTCCAGCGTGCTGCACACACTCCTGCAGCGCCACCGTGCGCGCCTGCCGCACACCTGCTCGGGGCCCGACCTCATCGTTCTGCAGCCCCGGGGGCCCGCGTCACCCTCTGCAGGGAAGGTGAGGTGGGGCACTGGGGACGGGAGGGGATGGGTGGGGGTGGCGGGGAAGGGACTCTGCAGGTGGAGGGGAGTGGGAGCCACCCATAGTAGCGGGGGAGGGAACACTGAACACCGCCAGCCTTTCATCAGACTCTGTTTCAAGCACCTTTGTGTATGAACTCCATGCATTCTGCGTTCCACATCCACCTGAAAATGCAGGGGCTGTGGTGTCAGGTGGGTGTGATACTTAAGGCCCCGCGTTGATCTTTCCTGGGAAGTGCAGAAATACTTTAGGCTTTCTGCGCTCCCTGGTGGAAAGACTTGGAGCTGCATTTGAATCCCTGGAACCCTGCCCTTCATCCATCCATCCATCCATCCATTCATTCATTCTTTCTTTCTTTTGGATCTGGGATCTCCTTCAGGTCAGGTACAGGAAAGAAACAGTCGCAGGCCAACCCACAAGCCTTCACATACAGCCTCCGTTCCAAGGGTGTGAGGGGAAGCAGGTTGTAGACCACACAGACAGCACAGGTTACCATGGGTGCCTGGGATGGGGTTACACCAGGCTTTCCCACGCGGTGGAGGAGACGTGGAAAGGGGGCAGAATGGAGTCCAGGAGACCATCAGTGAGCAGATTCCCAGTTGTGCGTGGCTGTGAGAAAACCCAGAGAAATTGTGGTGCATTCCTGGCCTCCGTCACATCTAGACTCACCCACTCCTGGTCCCTAAGTTGTCCTAAATCCACCGAAGCGGAGACAGTGGTCCTGCACCCCCAAGACTGTTCTACCCCAGGCCAACCCAGCTTGTCCCTCCTGGCTGTCCCTGCTGAGGTCCTGGGAGGACCCCAGGAGCCCTGGTGGCTGGGATGTGACTGTGTCTTCTGGCCCTGCTGTAAGGGCCCCTCTGACTCCTTGGAGAACAGGTTTTTGCAGCCCCTGACCATGAGTGGGAGTCCTTACTGGCCATCCTGGATGGAATACAGGTGCAGGGTTTGAGGTAACCCCTGAAATCCCTGAATGCTCCCCTCAACCCCTGTGTTTCTCCATTCTCCCGATTCTTCTGCTGAGCCAACCTCCAATTCCTCTAAATGGCCACCAGGTGGCAGCACAGCCCTACACCCGAGGCCGGGACTGGCCCCACTTTGAAGATGGGTCCAGTGGCTTCAGGGCAGGGCCCAGGTGTGTGCCTGAGAGCCTGAAGGTGTTTGTGGGTATGGGCCTGGGTGGGCACACGTGTTCCTGAGAGCATCCATGCGTTCATGTGTGCAGTAACACATGCACACCTGTGGGTGTGGCCCTCAGGTACAGCCTCCATTCCAGGGGTGTAGGGGGAAGCAGGTTGTAGACCACGTGGACTTACGCCTCTCCTGCTGGGGTCCGGTGGCCGGACTGTACTGCGTGTCATCTTCTACACCACAGAGCCTTTAAGGCTGGCTGGCATCGCGGTGGCCAGCTGCTGTTTATTCCTTGATGGACACGCAGAGTCACTGAGCAGCTCTCAGGGTGACCAGTTGTCTCGGTTTTGTAGGGGGTGGGGGTGGCAGGGTGACCAGTTGTCTCGGTTTGCATGAGCTCAGTCTCACGTGGTTGTCCACTGGCTGAGAGATGTGAATTGGGTCATTTCTGGTGTCTGGTGATTTTGTGTGTATTTAGTATAACCGACGACACAGGGGTGGTTATTCTTATTTTTTAACGATCACGCACTTGCGGGGCTGCAGGGCCGTGCTGCGAGTGTGCGTCCCACACCTGCTTCAGGGACACACCCAGCCTTCCCACGAGTGTGGTCCGGGACTTGCAGAGGCTGCGTGGCTGACTGTGCCGACAAGAGGTCTCAGTCCATCCAGTGATGTCTCCATGGGGTCGGCAAGGGTTTCTTTCATGTCCTTTGGGGGAAGGTGGTACCTCCTGTCGGGGGAGTCCGCTCCATGCCACACATCCCTTGGATCTTCCTTCTGTGTGAGGAAGGATGAATGCAAGGGCTTCGGGTGTCACCTACGTCTGTCCTGGGACGTTCACAGCACACACGCCACTCACTCCTGGGCCCTGCCATTCCCTCTTTCCGTGACAGACATCACTAATCGATCCTGCCTGCCATCTCTCCCAGCTGTGGCTGCCCAGTGATTCAACAGGGCAGAGGTGGGACTCAGACGAGGCATGGGATGCCTGTGGGGCTAACAGGGACCTCTGGGCATGCCCTCCTCCCACCCCCGGCAGGCTGGACTCCTCCCAGCAGCCTGCTGAGATTTCTTTGATGAGCTAGCAATCAGATGGCAGCTGGGTCAGGGTGGGGTAGGGGAGGGTTGAAGGCTGAAGCTCCCCCCCTTCTTCCTGCAGGTGCCCATGTCCAGGGGCCGCTGGGGTCCCTCGCAGGCCCACGTGGCCTCCCTGGCCCAGCGGGCATACTGGGCGCTGCTGAGTCAACGGCGGGACCAGAGCATCGTGGCCTTGGGCAGGAGTGGCGCTGGGAAGACCACCTGCTGTGAGCAGGTGCTGCAGCACCTGCTGGAGCTGGCCGGCAGTGTGGACGGCAGGGTGTCAGGTGCGGTGGGAGAGAGGCAGAAAGCGGAGAATGGGGGGCTGCCCTTCCCGCGTCTGCTCAGTTGAGTCGTTGCTGAGCACCGGAGGTGTACAGACCCCTCTCTTGTGGCCAGTCAGGGCACCACGCCTCGTTGGGATCGGAGAAAGATGTTGTTTCCTCCAACCCTGGAGATCTGTCTGCGGAGTCATCGCCAGGGCAGACACATTGGGAGGTTGTCTGAGTCGAAGAGGGCGGATCTAAGACTGGGAGGAGATGGACCATGTGCCCCTGGGGCAAAGCGTGCTTGTGCAGTGTGCAACCTGCTGAACTGAACTGAACAGGGGCCGGAAGGGCAGGGCCAGCCCTCGTGGGGAGCTAGGGAGGGGGAGCCGAGCTGTGTGCACTAGGGGCCCTTTCAGACATTCCCTGGAAGATGGCAATCACGCAGAAAGCATACGTGAATTTCAGGTTGGTTTTGCACCTAAATCCGTGCCTCTAGTCAGTTTCCCACGAACTTTCCGAAACTCCCCTGGATATGTCACATGTGAGCATCCCGCACATGGTTAGGGCACGTCATGGGAGGGGCCAGGCTGGGGGTGACGTCTTGCCCTGTACCCCTCGCCCCTCCCCAGTGGAGAAGATCCAAGCCACCTTCACCGTCCTGCGGGCCTTCGGCTGTGTGGCCACGGGCCAGAGTCGCGCTGCCACCCGCTTCGCCATGGTGATGTCCCTGGACTTCAATGCCACTGGCCGAGTCACGGCTGCTCAGTTGCAGGTGAGACCCCGAGGGCATGGTGGTGGTCCTGGGGGCTGCCACACCCCAGGCGGGACCCACTGAGGACTCTGATAATTGAGATGGAAGAAAGGACTGCTAGGTTTTGAGCAGGGGACCCCATCTTCTCCCCCTGCAGACAATGCTCCTGGAAAAGAGCCGGGTGGTGAGGCAGCCGGAAGGGGAGGGGAACTTCGAAGTTTTCTCACAGATGCTGGCTGGGCTGGACCTGGACCTCAGGTGAGTGTGGGGTGGGAGTACGGGGGGTGGGGAGAGGCCGTGACGGTGGAGGGCTGGGAGAGACATGACACCTGTTTTCTGGGGGGGTTTGGGTCTGGCTTCTGCCACTCCCTGCTCCCACCATTACCCCAAGGTGAGGGGACGTAGAGCCCAGTGGTTAGGGACCTGGCCCGTTCCTGAGGATGCCTGGGAACACAGGGCTGTGGGCTGGGAGCCCTTGGCCACGTGCCGTCCGCTCTGAGCTTCAGGTTCAGGCTGTGTGAAGTGGGCATGAAAGTGTGAACAGACCACGCACACCTGGCCGTTTGTAAGCGCTGTGGTGCTTGGGTCTTGGTGGCCATGGTGGTGACACAGGGTCTGACCGACAGAGACAGTCGCCCCCACGTCTTTCAGAAATTTCTGAACTTTGTGGGAGCAGCAGGGGAGCAGTGAGCAGGGCGGTCAGGCGAGCCTCATCTCAAAGGGCTTCCCTGGGGGTGTGGCTTGGGGCGTCCATGCGGCATCCATGGGCAGGTGTGGCTTCCTGTCTTCCAGCCTCAGTTGCCATGTGGTCACTTGGGGTGCTCCTCTTTGTCCCCCCCATTGTAGCATTTGCATTCACTCCTTCCCCCCATCCCATACTGAGGCTGTGAGGCCCTCATGGCACGTGAGAGCAGACACTCCTGGTTTCCTCAGTGGGATCAACTCAGCTGTTCCTCTAAAAGAGTCTTCAGAACCTCGATGGAAGAACTTGACCTGGAGTTGTGCAGTGGCTGCAGCCACAGGCTCTGAGCCAGGCTGCCCTGCCTGGCTGGCTGTGTGGCTTCCGGCTGATGACACCGGTCAGCAAGCCTCACCATTGTCACCTGGGAAATAGTGGGACGTGGCATGACATGGGTACAGCACAGCTATGATATATATGTCATGGTTGTAACGGGTGCTACAGGGTTGTGACCTGGACATGACATGGAGTGACATATGTGTGTGCCACTGATGGTGACATGGATGAGACATGGTGTGACACAGGTATAACATGGGTGTGACACGATTGTGACCTGCTATGACATGGGAGAATGCCAATTTTACAGATGGGACAAAGTAAGTCTCAGGAGAAGGGAAACATGTTATCTGCTAGGAGGCAGGGCTGGAGATGGACCAGAAACCTCCCTGGTAAAGGTCATTCCAGGACAGGAGGCAGAGGCGAGGGGGGATGTGAGCTTTTTTTTTTTTAAGATTTATTTTATTTATTTTTATTGGAAAGTTAGTTATACAGAGAGGAGGAGAGACAGAGAGGAAGATTCTCTGTCCAATGATTTACTCCTCAAGTGACCACAATGGCCAGAGCTGAGCAGATCCAAAGCCAGGAGACAGAAGCCTCCTTTGGGTCTCCCACGTGGGTGCAGGGTCCCAAGGCTTTGGGCCGTCCTCGACTGCTTTCCCAGGCCACAAGCAGGGAACTGGATAGGAAGCAGGGCTGCTGGGATTAGAACCCGTGCCCGTATGAGATCCGGCATGTGCAAGGCAAGGACTTTAACTGCTAGGCTGTAGCGCTGGGCCCAGCTGTGAGCTTTAGAGAGAACCTAGGGAGCTGGGATACTGAGGGGTGGGTGGGAAGTAGTGCATAAGCCCTGCCTCCCAGGACCCTGGGTTTGCCTACAGTGTGGCTGTGGGTGGGCTCCAGGGTGCTGTAGTGAGGAACGTGTGCTGGGGGTGGGAGCAGGGGGCGGTCCTGCCTGCCTGCATCTCCTTGGAGTGGATGGGGAACCTGCAGACCCCACCCTTCGGGAACCTGCAGGGGAACACTTGGCAGGGCTACAGGTTGAGGCCAGAGAGGGTGTGAGTGACAGGGCAACAGCGAATGGACTGTGGGGAGGGGCGGGGCATAAGGATTGTTAGTTGGGAAGGCTTGGGCAAGGCCTTGGTACTTGGCGTCCTGCAGGTTGCTGTCAGGAGCACTCCTGGAAAAGAACGCACAGTGGAGGCTCAGGGCTCCTTCTAAGTCCCTCCCCCGGCAAGGTCCACCTGCCAATCCGGACAAGCCAGAGCCTGTTCCCTCCATCTGGTCTGGGGTGTCCCGTCTCTGCCCAGGGTCAGGAAGGGCTGGCAGTATTTATGGGAAGGTCAGGGCAGGTAGAGCAGGTGCAATGCCTGAGTATCAGCGGGTGGGGGGTCCTGCAGTGTGAAAACCATGTCGGGGGGATGTCTCTCCGTCTCTGACCTCTGACCCCTTCTCTGCTCTCCCAGGACGGAGCTGAACCTGCACCAGCTGGCAGCCAGCAGCTCTTTTGGCATGGGCGTGTGGGCCAAGGTAAGGAGAAGGGGGCAAGGCTGGCCGGGTAGGGGAGGCATGGGGGTGGTGGGATCTGGGCTTGCGGGAGATACGACACTCGGGCGCCCACACACAGACCCGAGGCCCTGGGCCCTGGGGTCGAGCCTCGGCCGGGACACTCATTAGATGCATGATCTCCGGTTGCTCGCGGAGAGCGTCTGTATCCTCTTCCACTCTGCTCGCTCACGCCGGGGCAGCTGGGAGGGCTCGCTGATCACTGTGCACGGCGCGCTGAGCCCTGGGCCTGGCGTGGATCCAGCCTCGGGACTTTTGCGGAAGTCCCACTGGGTGTGCGTGTGGAGCGACGCGGCTAGTGACAGCTCCCTGAGTGGGGCCCAGGCGAGGCCTTGAGAGATGGCTCTGAACTCACTACAGAAAGCACCATCGGCCCTCCTGTTGGCTGTCTAGTTCACCAGTGTCTATTTCAGCCATTGGCTTCTGAGCCCATTTTCCAGTTGCCTCCCCCTGGTGCTGGGCCTGTAGTCCTGACCCTTGGCACTCAGATGTGGCGATGAATGTGATCATGTGATGGACATGGCACCAGAGGCTGTATGGGATGCTCAGGCACCAGAAGGAGCAGAAAGAGCCATTAGACTTTAGCTGCAGAGGGTTTCTTAGCCAAGGGGCTATTTGGCCTGGGTTTTGAAGGATGAATAAGAGTTCACCAGGTGGGAGAAGAAGTGGATAGTTTCCGTTCCAAGGGCTCTTTCCTAATAGACACATCCAGGGAACAAATAGCGCTGAGCTAATTGGATACCTCCATGCAAACAAGCAATGAATTTCAGCTTGCATTTCGTCTCATTTGCAAAAAATGAACAGCAGCATAAAGGTTTAAAAACCACAACATTGCTCAGAACAGATAGTAGAAAAACAATCCCCGGGTTGGGCAGTGATGCCCCAGTGACAAGGCCAACATCACAGTGCACACACAGGATGTGTGCTGAGAGAGACGAGCCACTGGAGGCCAGGAGAGAAGTCACGGCAAACGCACATCTGCGGAGGAATCTGCAGGCAGCATGTCCAAACGACTGTCCAAACTCCTGCTTAAAACATGCTAACAGAAAAGGCGGGGTCGAAGGCGCACTTCGTCAAAGACGCCATGCGGCCAGCTGGGACGCTCCAGCACATGCACAGTAGCACCGGTAGCCGTGAGCCACGAGGGTGGCGGGTTCCACAGCTCAGCCCCGGCCACATGGGGTACAACGGCCCACGCAGGACTCCCCGCGGTCTGTGGCGCCTGTCCTCTGCGGGGTGAAGGGGGGTGGTGGTGTCTCGGCAGGGATCCTACCAGGGACAGAGGAGAGGCTGTGTCGCATGTTGGAACATGCTGGCGTGGACGCGGGGAAGCCGAGTGGTTTATCCTTGGCCAGTGAGGCTTAGGGTGGTTACATGTGTGTGAGTGTACACACACACGCACAGGGACACATTGCTGTGTGCTGTCCCCTCCCCTGCATCACACTTGAGGCCGCTACACACACGCACCCTGCTGTTGCTATCCCTTGGATCACGGTGGAAGCTGCTACACACACACACACACACACACACACCCTGCTGTGTGCTAATGGAGCCTGAAGCAGCAGGTGCGGGGAGGGACCGGAGAACCCGTGTGTTTCGCACATTACCGGGTGTGTTGCTGTGATGGTGAGGGGAGTATTTTCCGGGGCTGGTGGAAGGTAGTAAGTTCTGGGGCTGCTATTGTCTGGGGTCACCTTCCTGCTTCTCCCCATTTTCCTGGATGAGTTAGTGGGTGGTGGACCTGGCCAGGGTCTTCTTCCCCGACTCATTGAAGGAGTGGGGCCCACGTGCATGGATGTGTGTGTTCCAGCCAGCCTGAGGCAGGCGGTTTGCTTCCCAGGCTGTGAGGAGGGGGCAGGGTCCCAGGCTGGCACCTGTGGGCCTTCCCCGGCTGCCCTGTTGGCTGGCTGGTGTCGTGTCGGCATTGTTCACAGCGTGACTCCGTGTTGAGGAGGCATTTGAAGTGGTTTGCTTGCTTTGCTTCTCCATGGTGGTTTTTTTTTTTTTTCCAGACCAATCGATTTGCGGCCCTTGTAGGGTTTGCTTTTGTTCTTCCTCTGCTACCTGGTTGGATCGGAACATGCTTTCTTTCCCAGAAAGAAACACAAAGTCAGGACATCCGGTCATATCCGTTAGAAGCTGGGGCGGTTTCCCAGGGATGGGCTGCCTGGCTGCCAGCTCATGAAGACCATGTGGCCAGCAGAGGAGGCCCCCAAGATCCAGAGTGGTTAAGAACATGTCCCCAAGGTTGTGGGGTTACATTTGAATTTCAGATGTAGGAGGGTTTTTTTTTTTAAGTATAAATATGTCCTAGGCGTATCCAAGAAGGCTGCCTGGAGAGGGTGACCCTGGGTGGATGGGGAATCGTGGAATGAGAGTGGATTTTAACAGGTGCAGCAGAGGCAACAGTTCCTTGCTTTACCAAGCAGTGCATGGAGACAGGATTCTATGCTAAGAGAACATCCTTGTTCATCTGCAGCGTGGCTGTGTGGCCTCTGCTTTATCTGGGAGCTGGACAGCCCAGCTTCCTTGCTGGCTGAGCCCTGGTCTGCTCCTCCCAGCCACTCCCCTGCCTCTTACCGGCTCCGCTTCCAGTCCTTCCACGGCCGTGTCGGCTCTGTTGTCCACCGCAGTCACAGCCGTGAGGCGTGACCTCGGCATTCCCGCCTGGCGAGGTGACTTCATCTCTCTGGGTCTCAGTATTCTCATTTACGATGCTGAGCTCGTAATAAAAACAGAGAGCGCACAGGGACCTGCACAGGGCCTGCCCCTTGCCCAGCACAAGCTTCTGTTATTATTGGTATTGCTACAATCATGCACAGTAGTGCTAAATCGATGTGTGAAGTTGTGGCATCCCTCCCCATTCCACACCTAGGGAAAGTCCGAAGCCAGGAGCCAGGAGCCTCTTCTTGGTCTCCTGTGTGTGGGTGCAAGGATCTGAGCACTTGGGCCATCCTCCACTGCTTCCCCAGGTATAGCAGTGGAGTGCTGGATTGGAAGCGGAGCAGTTGGCTCTCCAACCGGCTGACATCAGAGGCTTTCCATGCTGTGCCACAACACCAGTCTCCTGCACTGATTGGCTCATTTCCCAAATACCCACAACCACCTGGGGGCATCCAGCGGGGGGTATAGCTTGCAGTTGGGTACTTGATCCAGCTCTGCCATGAGTTTGCCAGGGACTTGATTGACATGAGTGGTGACCCGCTGCCTCCCAGGGTGCTCCCCTGGCAGGAGACTGGGTTGGGATGGTACCTGGGCACTCAGCTCTGGGAAGTGGGCGTCTTGGCTGCCTTGCCAAGCTCCTGCCTCCAGGCATGGCTCCCTGAGCCATTCCCCTGACGTTTTCCAATCGCACAGTCCTGCTCATTGCTCACAGTAATGAGGTGATGACTACCCTGGTGCACCTGTCCCGAGGCCTCTGTGACGGTTGCTGCCTCCCGCTACTGTCTTTCCTACTGTCTCCTTGGTAACAGCATCTCCCGAGCATCACCTTGCTTGCTTACTACTGCTCTGTCTCCCGCCAGCTCTGCATTCCCTGATGGGATGAGTAGGTGGTGGGGAGGTTTCCATGTGCCTTGTTTATTGTAAAATCCTCAAAGCTTTCCTGCCAGCTGATCTCGTGACAAAGGGTCTGAGCAGGAAGACACGAGTGGGCGAGCCCCAGCTTGGGCCGATGTTTTCTCCTCCTCGCATCTCCGTTCCCTCCTTGGTCAGTAAGTGAGGGTCCTGGCCTGCTTCCTGGGGTAGCAGCAGCAGCAGCCACTCCAGCCCAGTAGCTGCTCTGTGAAGGCTTGCTCTCTACCCTCTGTTCCACATTAGGAATATCCCACACCAGGGGAACATGATGGATGGCTGAGAGATCCAGACAGGGCAGGACCTTGCAGGTCCCAGCTCCGGACCCGTGCCTGTGCTGCCCTTCCCATAGGCTCTGTGAAGTTCATGTGGTCCTGCTGTCTCTTTCAGTTGCTCCAGGTCAGCCCTCCAGGTTCAGGCAGTAGAGGGGCGGGAATCCCTCTGGGTTGAGGTTGTACAGACATGGCGAGACAGGCTCTGGGGGAGTGTGGGTTAGTGTATTCCCATGAACTAGAGTTGGACTGCCTGCCCGCGTTGTGCTTCTAACCAGAGGGGAGCCACACACACTCCATCAGGGCGCAGCTCCCAGCTGCAAACCGGGCACAGCTCCCCATTGCTCCCAGTCCTGTCCTCAGAGCCCAGACGCTCCATGCTCCCTAAACCCTCTCCCCTCTTCCTTCTTTGTGTTTCTGCATACCATTTTGCACGTGGTGACTTCTTTTATACACCACTTCTTCCAGCAAGACTACCACCCTTCCAGTCTGTGCCTTTGTCCTTGCTCAGTCACCCATCCCCCAGTCCTCGCTCTGTGCATCGCTGGCTGTTTGCACTGTGTCCCTGACAGTCAGTGGGCTAGGAGTCCTTTGTGGGTGGGGCAGGGCAGGCTGGTGAGGGCTTGAACAGGAGTGGAGAGAGGAACGGGGAGAGGAGAGGAAGGGAGAGAGAGAGAGAGAGAAGGGGGAGAGAAAGAGGAGGGAGAAGAGAGGAAAGGAGAGATCTTTCACCTGTCGGATCCCTCCTTAAATTCCCACAACAACTAAAGCTGACCTCTAAGGCTGAAAACAGAAAAGCCTGGAACTTGATTTTGATTTCCTGCTCTCCGCCAAGTACCTGGGCTGTCATTTGCTCTCTGACTTCCGGTGTGGGCATAAGCAGAGAGTTAGAACCGAGAGGCAGAGCTGAGACTCCCACAGGGTCTCATGTTTTCTTCCACGTTGAAGAAGCAGACGTGAACCCACACACACCATGCCATGTCACGCTGTGGGGAATTCAGGGTTGAAAGTGTGTCCAGCTCGGTCTGGCCCCAGACCTGACTCCCTCGTCCGCCTTGCAGGAGTCTCCTGGGTGCTGTCCACACGGCTGCTTGCTTTAACCTGGAAAGAACACTGTGGATGCTGTTTTTGTCATTCAATGACTTGCAGTCTCTGCTTGACCTTGTGGCTGTCACGGCATCCGACATAAGCCTGGGGCATCTTGTGCTTTTGGTGTTTTCTCCTTGAAATGATTTCTTCTCTCCAGAATTGGAGTAAAACGCGCAGTGAAGTATATGGAGCCTGCTACTCCATTCTGGCAACCGCCGCCCCCCCCCCCCCAAGATTCAGTTACAGAACATTCCTTTCCTCCACCTGGAAAGCTCTTGGAAGATCCCTCCCCCAATCAGAGGTGTCCCCCTGTCCCCAAGGCCATCAGCTAGTCATTGGCTGTTCGTCCATTTGTCCCCCATGTCTTTGACCTTCACATGCATGGAGCCACAGTGTACGGTCCTTGAGTTTTGAGTGTGACACCCCCAAAACTCATGTGCTAGAAACTTCACTCCTGAATTTGTAGGGTAGAGAGGTTTGGAGGTGGTGGGGGGTCAGATGGGATCATGAAGGCAGGGCCCCTGTGACGACGGCCTCTGTGACTTCCTAAGAAGGGGAAGAGAGACTCAAGATGCTGACAACAAACTCTTACATTTTCTGGCCATCCCAACCATGAGCTACACACACTTCTGTTCCCTGCAAGTCCCTGGGGCTTGAGTACTCTGTTATACCCACAGAAAAAGGCAGAGATTTTGTCTCTCACTTCTGTGATGTCATGTTGGCTCTGTGAGATTCCTATATGCGGCAGGCTGGGTCACTGGTGGGCATGTTTTCTTAGCTGTGTGGTACTCCATGACCGTGCCCTGGGCCTCTCCCTCCCTCCCTTGGTTTGTCTGTTCTCCTCTTGGTAGATGCTTGATTGTGAGTGGATGTGTTCCTTTTGTTTGCTCTTTATTTATTTTTAAAAGATTTTATTTATTTTTGTTGGAAAGTGATATATAGAGAGGAGGAGAGACAGAGAGGAAGGTCCTCCATCTACTGATTCACTCCCCAAGAGACCGCAATGGAAAGAGCTGAGCCAATCCGAAGCCAGGAGTCACCCCCGGGCCTCTCATGTGGGTGCAGGCTCCCAGGACCTTGGGCTGCCCTCAAGTGCCCTTCCAGGCCACAAGCAGGGAGCTGGATGAGAACCGAGGCTGCTGGGATTAGAACCAGTGCCATATGGGATCCTGGCATGCATAAAGTGAGGACTCTAACTGCTAGGCCACCATGCCGGGCTCTGTTTGCTCAATTCTCTGATAAGATTTTTGATCCCAGGAGTGGCGTTGGTCAGGGTATCCTAGATTTTGAAGATCTGCTTCAGTAGAAATTGAGAATGTACCATGACCTTGGTCATTTTGGATTGAGTGTTTGGACCCTGGTGTTTGGTTCCAAGAGACATGGGGGTGTGGTGGAGTAAGAGAGAGAAAGAGCGAGCAGATATACTTCTGCAGAAGTTTTCTCCTTCTCTCCACATGTGCCAAGTGGCGGAGGACAGATTCTGCCTGTAATTTTAAGTCAAATGCTCCGAGCTGGTAGCAGGAGCCATAATAAATGCGTTGCCACTGTCCTTTCAGCGTCCTTCCTCTGCTACTTTGAAATCTCATAAATAACCGAGAGCGTGTGGGTAAGACGCCGTCCTTCCCTCGGTGGGCTCCAGCGGAGCGGCTGTGGCTGTTGCCAGGCTGAGCTTCTGGTTGCTAGGGATTTGGCCGCCCTGCGGTGGCCCGGAAATACGATACAGCGGTAGAACACGCTTCTGCTATTAATTGAAATGTTTCCACGGCTAATCTCTCAATGCCACTGCATGCCTTCACGTCGCCCCCACCGCTCCACCAGACTTGCACATTGCCCGGTCCAAAGAAGTGGCTTCAAGGCAGTAGACAAGGAATGTGGGGTGGGAGGCAGGAGCACCTGTTCTCAAATTTGCTGTGCAACGTCCGTCCGTGTCATGTCACCCCCACCCCTCTCCCTCTCTCTGGGCACCGGCCTTTACAAAATCCCACAACCTTTTAGCTGGAACGCCTGGCAGTTCATCACCCAAGTTCTCCAAGCCAGGCCAAGCACTGAATCACCACCATCCTTTTCAGCTGGTCAACGATTGACAAAAGCATGTCCATGCCCAGCTCCCTTCCTCCCTGCTCATCAGGCTTCTGGGCTGAGTCCCCTGGCCAGATGGTGTGTGCCTAAGAATCTCAGGCTCATTTTAATATTCAATCCAAAATAATTGGGCTTATAAATCTGGAAAAGGAAAAAAAAATTAACCAACTGAAACCCCTATGACCCATATACAACTGAGTGTGTATAGTATTCTCTTTGGCTCCTGCTTAGAAACTTTCAGCAGTTTCCTATCATAGCAATATGTATAGCAAAAAAAAAAAAAAAGCCTCAATTCAGTGGATGATGACAGATGAGTTGGTGGTGGAAGCTGCAAGAGGTGACTGCTCGACTGGCCGCGAGACTGTGATCCATTAGCGATGTCTCGACTGGCCGCGAGACTGTGATCCATTAACGATGTCTGCTGTGGATCCAGGAAGGCAAGAGGCAGATACAGAGCAGTATCTGCCAATCACGGCTGAAGTTGGAAGCCCACACCCATTTTACAATTATATTCTCAACGTTCAAGTTCACCTTCTGCCAGCTCCTCGTGATTTATCTTCTCCCACCTGCAGAAGAAATTACTTCTGTGTCCATAGTCAATTGACCACCTGTTGGTCTCCCCCCCATCTCTCCTCTCTGTCCCCTGTGCTTGGTGAGACTTTCACAGCGCTGAAGGGGTCAACTTTTTGTCTCTTTATATCTCTGTCTTTAATCACAGCTCTGTCTCACCCCATTTGGGTTTTCTTGGCTGGGATCTGTCAGCCATTCCTTCTTCCACAACCCATAGTCCTCTGTTTAGACTGAAGTTGGCCATGTAACTTGTCTCACACGTCACTGTTTTTATGTCTCTTTGCATTTGTGCCCGGAGAGTGCTTCAAAGTCAAGATCTAGGTTTTGCTCCTCCTTGCACTCCCAGACCAGAGCCGAACATGGAGTGCAGCCTTAGTAAATCTGTCTTGGATGCAGACAAGAATAAAAATCACACTGCATCCTGGAGCCAGACAGAAATGAGGTTTTATAACTTTCCCAGCAGCCTGCATTGGTATATCAATACACCTTGGCTTAATTGTGGATACTTTACTGTGGTTGTCGGCTGACCACACGTTCTTCCGAGTCCGCCCTTGGCTTTGAGCCTTCACTGTGAAAATATTCTGCCCCGTGACTGTCTCTCTTCCTCTCCCCTCTGACCCCCACAGCCAGAAGAAAAGCAGAAGGCGGCGGCTGCCTTTACCCAGCTCCAGGGCGCCATGGAGATGCTGGGCATCTTGGCAAGCGAGCAGCAGGCCATTTGGCGGGTGCTGGCAGCCATCTATCACCTGGGTGCTGCAGGAGCTTGCAAAGGTATGTCCCTCCTCCGAACTCACCTCATCTGGGCGGCCAGCTATCTCCTTCAGCAGGTGCCCTACAAGGCCCTTCTCTCCATGAGGAGGGGATAAGGCCAGTCTGTGTGATCTTCTTTTCTTTTCTTTTCTTTTCTTTTCTTTTCTTTTCTTTTCTTTTCTTTTCTTTTCTTTTCTTTTCTTTTCTTTTCTTTTCTTTTCTCTTCTCTTCTCTTCTCTTCTCTTCTCTTCTCTTCTTTTCTTTTCTCTTCTCTTCTCTTCCCTTCTCTCCTTTTCTTTTCTTTTCTTTTCTTTTCTTTGCTTTGCTTTGCTTTGCTTTGCTTTGCTTTGCTTTGCTTTGCTTTGCTTTGCTTTGCTTTCTTTGCTTTCACGAAGCTACTACACTGGCATTGTTGGAAAGAACACCATCTATGCAGTCCAGTAGAGCAGCCACCCATTACATGTGCCTGTGGAACACTTTGATATTTTGTCTCCTTTCTATGGATTCGAATGGGATGTAGGTAACTCGTGATGACCCTGGAATGAATGTGGGAAAAGGGTGGGTTTAAGTGATGCAGGGGGTGTGCCTTCTGGCTTCAAGGCTGGAGTAGTTCCCCACCACGGGAGCTGAACTGGATCCTGCCAGCCTCCTCCTCAAGCATTTGAGAGTTGATCATCCCTATTTCCACTTGCTCTCCCAAGTGCTTCCCATCATCCTCTTTGCTCTGGTTATCTCTCTATTCAGCCACTAAGTTTATACTTGATGACATCAATCCTACCTTGGTTTCTCTCTCTTAGCTGTTATTTTATTGATTGATCAATGGATTGATTGGGCCCCCTTGCAGCTTTATTCAGTCTTTTCTGCTCTTTCTTTTGTTCCTGCGCAGAGTAGGGATCACAGCTGTGAGTCCTGGCACACAGGGCTTATGCTGCCTTGTCTTGTAATCGTGCCCTTGTCTGTCTCTTCCCAATAGGGAGTGAATTAGTAGAAGTAGTCACTCATTTATTTCATGAACTGATGTCCATATACGGATTTTGGCTGATGCTGTAAGCTACTCTCTTGTGGACAGCAGATACCTCAAGAAGCTTCCAATCCAGGCACTTCTCATGGGGAAGGAGAGTGGTCACATCATAGCAATCAGATCAGAAGTTCTTAACAGAGGGTCTGTGTATTGCCACCTATCACCCACCAAACCAAGACAAATCACATTTCTTACTACCCATGGTCCTGTCCCCACTGGGGACTTTGGACAATCCTATCCCCATTAAACCTCACAACAGGGGCCTGCTTCCTCTCCGAGATGAGCTAGCATTGGTGTTAGGCCCAGCCCTGGGCTGATCAGAGAGAGAGAGAGCAGGAAAGACCCACTATGGATCAGCCTTGGGGCACTGGCACCCATGGGGGCAGGAATCGAACCTGTTTCCTAGAAGGGAGAGCAGAAGTGCCAGTAGACAAAGAATGTGAACCCTTGAAGGGGGATGATTTGAATTTAAAGCACAAGTTGGCAGAACTTCAGCATCTTCCTCCTCCCATAGGCAAAGAGGAGGGTTGGTGTCAGGATGCATGGATGGCAGTGAAGTTTAGGCTGGGTGTCCCCAGGAGCAGGTCTTGAGATGAGGGTTCGGCAGGCTGTAGCTTATTTGGGTGAGGACCCCAAAAAGCATCTGTGAGGGTCATGTGGAGGTGAGACAGGCAATTGGGGGTGCTCTAAGGACTCTAAGATCAGCTTTGAGGTGTAGCTCTCTGAGAAGTCGGGGAGAATCTTCTAGTTTTTTAAGACTTATTTTTAGTGGAAAGTCAGAATTATATAGAGAGAAGGAAGGAGGGAGGGGGAGAGAGAGAGAGAGAGAGAGAGAGAGAGAGAGAGAGAGAAAGCTCTTCCATTTACTGGTTCACACCCCAAATGGCCACAATGGCCAGAGCTGAGCTGATCCACAGCCAGCAGCCAGGAGCTTCTTCCAGGTTTCCTACATGGGTACATGGTCTCAAGGCTTTGGGCCAGCCTCTGTGCTGCTTTCCCAGGCCACAAGCAGGAAGCTGGATAGAAGTGGAGCAGCCGGGACACGAACTGGCACCCATATGAGATGCTGCAGGTGGAGGATTAGTGTGCTATGCCATGGCTCTGGCCTGAGTCTTCTAGTTTTACTACCCAGGAGTGGAGGCAGCCTGGATTGATCCAACCCTCCTGTTGCTGCCTGGCTGTAGGTTCTCCTGGGAGGCATTCACTTCCTGTCCTCAGAGGCTACCCTCGGTATGGGCCGAGCAGGTTCCTGTGAGCAGAGAGAGCAGAGCAGAGCCACTGCTCCATAGAGAGAGCCCAGGGACACTCAGGGAGTGGGGGTTGGTGGTGGGAGCATCGGTCAGGGGCTCAATCATCCTTCAGTCACTCCTAACACAGGCCACACCTTCTGTAGGAAACAGCTCTGTAGGGTGGCACTGTTGACTTTGTATGAGGGGACTTCTTAAGGTGACACAACACTTTGCCTTGAGACTGCACCCAACTTGAAAGGGACAGCGCCTACCAGGGCTAGGGATTGGGAGTATTCAGCAGATGGCAACAGCCTCCCTGCCAGTGTTCACGGGCCCCCTTGCCTCCCATGCGACAGAGCACTGCCTAGGTGCGTGCCCTGGCCAACTGACCTGTCCCCAGGCAGGTGAGGGGACCCAGTATGACTCCTCGTCTCCAACTTCCCGTAGGGCAGGTTGGTACCTCCTGTGACGTGGGCTCAGGGATCCGACCTGTATATGTAGGTGTCCATGAGGCTCAGAGAGAAAGTCACATTTATAAATATTTTATTAATACATGATTACGGCAATAATTTCTGCCAGCCCTCAGTCCCTCGACTCCACCTTATAAATTATTTTAAGAAAAGCTACTGTCAGTCGGCCTGGGAGCACTGCCTGATGATTTACTCACTATATATTCTGCTTTGGAAGATTTCATAATAAGTTGCTCTAAAATCAGCTATTAAGAATTTCACAGCCATATATAAATGTCTTTGCTTTATGTCATAACAGATCATTTTGAAATATATTAAGAATCATTTTCATTAATCAGGAGTTTTTTTCCCCCCCTCATTCAAATCATACTCTGTTCCCTGAGTCTGATTTGTTTTTTTTTTCTCACTTATTTTGAGAGTTCCAATCCAATGTCAGTTCCCCAGGGAGAGATCTGAGGTCTTGTGACCCAGACTCAGGGAGTCTGGTCTCTTAAGAAGAACAACCGCCATCTCTAATAACACTCGAGTGTTGGATGGTTTGAGAAACGCTTAGGTCTCCGTTATGTTTTTGGTCTGATTCGACTCATGCAGCCCATGCGGTGAAGAAGAAAGTCATGCGACAGACTGCACTGGGAGTCAGCCAGCGAGTCTCACGATGCTTCGCTGGCTCTTGGCTTCTTCCTCCATAAATTGGGGCCACTGCTAGTCCCCCCATTTTGTGAACTTGTTGACAAGGATTAATGAGTTGAAACCAAGAGAGGAGAAGACTTGGCCCTTCTCATGGGTTTGGGCTGGGGGCTTTATAAGGGTTCATGTTTAACCTTCTGCATTTTTTTATTTATTGGAGAGGTAGAGTTACAAATAGAGGGAGAGAAAGAGAGAGAGAGGAGAGAGAGAGGAGAAAGGAGAGAGAGAGGGGGAGAGATTCTACTCTCTAAATGGCCATAATGATCAGGGCTGAGCTGGGCCAAATCAGGAGCCAAGAGCTTCAACTAGATGTCCCATGCAGGTGCAAGAACCCAAGGATTTGGGCCCAATTACTGCTGCCTTTCCAGGTGCATGAGCAGGGAACTGGCTTGGAAGTAGAGCACTTGGGACTTGAACTGGCACCCCTATGGGAGGCTGGTGTGGCAAGCAGCAGCTTAGCCTTATGTGCCACAACACTGCTTCAGCCATCTCCAGTTTATAAATAAACCTTTAAAGCTCCTGTTACATTGACTTTGAATGTAGAAGCTCTGCCTGGCTCTCATGAAGATGGTAATCTGAGTTGCTGTCCCGTAGCTCTGCAGACACCAGAGATGATGCTGGCTCTCCCCCGAGAGTTAGGCTCTGATATGTTGCTCTGCGCATGGTTCCTCCATCATGGCATACATAGGCAGCAACGATGAGTGAAGCTTGTGTTGATGGCTGCTTTGCTTGGTCTGCTTTTCCTCTGCAGGCTGACGTGGTGTGTAGTATATTTAACTTTCACTGTATTTGTCAGCTTGCTTGCTGTTGACCCATCGCTTAATGTAGAGCACGTGAGGCCCATGAAATCCTAGGTGGAGCAGGGTCAGGAAAATGGAACTTGTGCTGGTAAAAGGAGGTAGACAGGTCACTGCTCAGTGTGATAAAGATGTGTATCCCCCTATGAGTAGCCCTATAATTCTGTAACGCAGGGGGTCCCAGAGATGCCCACTGCAAGGAGAGACAATAACCCTGATGTTGACAGCACCTCCTTACTCTGGGATGCTTCAGGATCTTCAGCAAGGGCAGTTCACCAAAGGGATAGGGAGGAAGGGAGGGAGAGAGAGAAAATATATATTGATCTACCAACTGCTGACTTACTTCCCAAGTGCCCACAACAGGCCAGGGCCAGGCTAGACCAAAGCCAAGAGCCTGGAACTCAGTCTGCATCTCCCACATGGGTGATAGAGACGCAAGCAGTTAAGCCATCGCTTGCTACACCCCTGGTGCCCGCAACCTCCCCTGGCCAGGAACATTAATAGGGAGCTGGATCCAAAGCAGAGAAGCCAGGATGTGAATCAGTGTTTCAGTATGGGATGTTGATGTCTTATGGGGCAACTAAGCCCACTGCTCCACAGCCCACTAAATTATTTTCGCTGAAGTCTGTAGCTTAGCTGGATATTCTACTTCGTGTATGTCTATGTTCTGACAAGTGTATCCTTGGCTGTGGTATCACAAGGGACCACTTAGCCAGCTGAGAGCTGCTTTGTTATTTTCTTAAACTTTTGATTACAGATAACTCTAGACTCCCAGGAAGTTGCAACATTTTTAGTCTTATGCTGCCCTCCTCCATCC